GGCTTTCATGAGCCTCAATTTCTTTACATGCAAGACGGAGATAGTACTTGTATATGCAGCATTCCAAGACTGTTTGTAATGTGGCCTGCAGATGTCAGATGTGAAGGGGTATGAATAGTTGTTTTAAATAGGGAGAGAAATGCAAGCATGCAGCTGCCCCTACACACACCAATCCTCTGCATGTATATAATGAGACACTTGGATACAAGAGGTTGCATTTCTTCTTGAAAGTGTTTCAGATATATGGAGCATAACAAACTCATTTGTAAAAAAAAGTATCCAGTATGTCCTCCAGTATGTCTCTGCAGGCGATTACATCAGTGCTACCACTAAAGAATGGCTATTTCCACCAGCCAAGTCAAAGATTCCTTCATAGAATCTGTCATTCACAGACCACCTCAGCCACATGTCACCATTTACAATCAAGATCCCAGAACACATTAGGCTGATTTGAAAAAATGCCACCCAATGACTACAAAAACTGCCTACCGAAATTAGATCTCTAGGCCAAGGTGCTATCTACAGAAAATCAAAGACACTCAGGATGCTTCAGGACATCTCTCTTTACCTTAGCTTGCACCAAAAGGATGTGCCCAGTTCCACAATATACACAGCTTGCGGTGTGACTGAATATGACTGAAGCGTAAGGGTTCCAGACAAATACACTTAATTGCATTTGTTTTTAATACATTAGTTAAACCAGTTAAAATGATTGAATTACAAGTTTGTGTTTCTGTGGTTTTTTTTTTTTTTTTGGGGGGGGGGGGCTTTTTTTTCCTGTGGCTGTGATATTGTAATAGTTTTGGGACTTTTTTTTTTCCCTCCTTGGTATGTATATATGCATTCTAAATAGTCACAATTCTTAATTTATACTACTGCCTGGCAGCAGCACAGTTCTAAAGATCTGACAAACTTTCCGCCAGAAAATCCATTACTGTCAGAATATAATTAGGTTCCTGAAACTAAAATTCGGCTTGTTAAAACAAGATTTGAATTTATTTTTAAATTTATTGTTTCTGAGAAAAGTTGTTTTGAAAATGTTTGGCATGGATCAGGTAAGTTGTGTCATCCAACAGACACATAATTCACTACTTTCCTGGGATGCAGCTTGCAGATCTAATCAAGTAGAAAATATTCCCAAAACATCTGTTTTCCCATCATCTTCCAGCTACCAAAATTCTCTCACTGTACTTTAGGAAACTGTTGAGAGGAAGGATGCCTAAGCAGGAATACTGGCAACTTTATAGCTACAAAAGAAATCAATAGCATTCTGTAATACGTAAAAGAGGGAAAACCAAAAGAGCACTCCGTTACATAACAGGGAAAAAAAAATAGGTAAAACACAATCCAGGGAAAACTGATATACTCACCTCATCTTATTTAGCCGCACAAAACAAACGAACAGATCACAACCAAAGAGGTAACCATCAGTTTTAACAGGGAAATAGGAGTGCAGCACAGGGAAAGAAAGAGCTGTCTGAAGAAGTTGGACCTGCTCAGGTGAGCACATAAAATGGTCCCTAATGCACTCAGGACACTGACACCAAGAAATCCCAGAGCGCTGTTATCTCTGAGCAGCTCTAGAGGGAGAGTCACAGGGCTCTGGAGAAGGGAAAACATAATAACTAATTTTGCAAAAGAGAAACCAATCATCCTAACTGCAACCTTAGGGATAATATGAAACTAGTTATTAAACAGGCAGTCGGTGAGCATCTAGAAGACAACGCGATAACCAAAAGCACGTGAATTTGTCAAGAACTAACCCTACCACATCCAATTTCCTTTTCTGACACGGTACACAATCTACCTGAGTAATAGAGAATCCATAAATGTGACATACTTGCTTTTGGTAAGGCTTTTAATCTAATTTACGTGACACCCTGACCATAAAAGTAGGGAATCGTGGCTTGAATTAAAGAGCAGTTACAAATACTATAGGAAAGAGTAAGGATAAACACTTGAAAAATGGGAGGTTATTTGAAGTGGGACCCACAAAGATCAGTCTCAGGTCTGCCATTATTTCATACTGTCATTATAGCACTGGAATAGTGCACACACACTTCCAAAAGCTGGACCGATACCAAGCTGGGCCAGACTGCAAACAGAAGTGGAATTCAAAATGATGTTATTAACCAAGAAATTATGTGAAATTCAACAAAATACTACAGCGACAATCAAGAAACCCTATTCAAGTACAAAATGGGGGAAAATAGGCCAAAAAAAATAAAAATAAAAAAAAGAATTACAGTGGATGGCAGTTAAATAGCAGAGCCCAATGAGGTACAACTGGAAGAAAAAAGAACGGCAAATTTGGCACTAGCAGGCCCTAAGACACACAAGACAAATATTTTGCTCTGTCTAGCAGCAATGAAACCTCAGTTGATATATAATGCTAAGTTTAAATACCCTATTTCAAGAAAACGGGAAATAAAGTGGAAAAAGAAAAAAAAAAGTAAACTTTCACGACACGCGATCAATAGGAAAATACTGAAAGGGCAAAATTTGTTTAATGTAGAATTACATAAACAGAAAAGAGGACAAAGTGATGATCTTCAAGTTCTCCCACACATAAAAGACCAGTAGGACACCTTTACACCCACCAGGGGAAATCACTGGCTCCGGTTGCAGCAAGGAACCTAACAGTGAAAAAAAGATCGGAGAACTATAAATGAAATAAGTGAATTATGCCATAGGGTTGTGTAGTTCCTGTTATGGGAGATTTTTCAGAAAATAAATAAATAAACAAATTTGCCTTTAGTAGTCTTGTTAGAGGCTGCTGTAAGATGCAGCGCCACTTTAATGATCCCGTTGGCCACATTCGATGCTGCCTCACAAATCAGAGGAGGTTGGAAGCACGGGGCTGGCACAATGACAGCCAGCTGCAACACAGCACGGGCTTCCCCTAAATAACCCCCCTGCTATTGAAAGCTGTATATATACACATATATATAAATATACATGCTCAGGGGGCACCCAGGTTTCCTCCCAGCGCTGTAAAGCAGCTGAGCTTGCTCCTCCGTGGGCAAAGCACCCTCCTCAGCTGCCTCTCTAGCTGACATCTCATCACCTCCCCCGCAGCCTCCTGCACCTCCCTCCCCCTCGAGCCCCCAGCCCAGGCGGGAACAAAGAGCAAAGCAGCCGCTTGAAGGGTCCCTCTCCCCCCGGGGCCGCGGCCCGGCCGGGCTAGGCCGGCCCTCTGGAGCCGCCGCGGGGTGAGGGGAGGCGTTGGGGCCCTGGCGGGGCCGCACGCCGGGGATCTAGGGCCTGGGCGGCTCTGGGGCCGGTTTGTTGGGCGTGGGCTCGGACTTTAAGCTCGGGGGCTAAAGCGTCGCCTCTTCTCGCCGCGGTGGGTCGAGGGGGAGGCGGTTGGCGGTGGTTTTCTAGGTGCGACCCGGATTTGTTAGTGTAGGGCTGCCTGTATCGGGTGTCAGGGGAGATCTGCGGAGCACGACGTTAAAACGACTCTTTTTGAGGCTTTCAGAGAACTTGCAAGTCAGGATGCATCCAGGTATTTGTTGGGGCAGGTTTGCTAGCACATCCGGTGGTTGCGACTCAGTAAACAGTGGTGGAGTAGCTTTGCCTGTAGTAAAAGGACACTGTGTGCAGAGACTTTCAACTTAAATACTTGGGGGCAATGTCATGTTATGACCAGTAAAGCAGCAGCATCATTAGCAGGTAGTCTCAAGTGAATCAGTGAAGACTTCTTCAGGATTTATTCTTATTATTCAGGACCGATCTTCAGGATTTATTGAGTTTTCTCACCTCTTTCTGAGATGCTGTGTTTTCATTATTGCGATTTTCCCCACATGAATTAGGATAAACCAAAATGCATGAGCAATGATGGTGACTAGCAGATGGGGATACTTTCCTGAGCAAGGTGTCCCTGTGTACATTCCTTGCGTAAATTCTAGGAGGTGAAGTTGCTTCTGTTTTCCTTCTGCTAATCACATAAGATAAGGCTGTTTGTCACAAAACAGGTCGCGGATCAAGAAAGGTGGTAGTAGCGTCTGCTCTGTTACTGTTCTCTCTTCAGGGCAGAGAGCAGTAGCAAGGGAAGCCAAGGACGTTGTAGTTTAAGCTTTTCAGTTAGCAGTAAAATAAACCTCCCAAAGCCCTCACTCCCTTTTAACTGAACTCTTCTGAATACCTGGGAGAAATAAAAGGAAAAGCAAAACAGGGATACAACAAGCTGAGGAATGAACATAACAAGTGACAGATCCTAGAAATCTGGTAAGTGACCAGGAGATTTGGGAGTGGATAGAGCCGGGTACGTAAGGAAGAAAAGGGTTGATAGAGCTGGTGGATAAGAGAGAAAATGGTCAGGGTGGTGATTTGGGCTGTTCTGAGTGGTCTGTTTTGCTATTGACTTAAATTAGCCCTTTGTTACTGACTTAAATTAACCCTGTGCTGCCACAGAGGGCCCTGGCCCCTGGTTTCACTGAGGATTTGCTCTACTTGGAGGAATAATAATAATAAAAAAGATCAGCAAGCTATATTTCCATTATTTTCTCTTCACCTCTTAATCTGCCTCAAAGTGCATGATTTCCCTCTTTTGAGGTTCTGTGATGATCTTAGATTATCTCTGTGTGGTTGTGAATCTTACCCTGCAAGTGAGATGAGGGTTAACTCAAAAAGGGCAAGGAAATTTCTCTGGAAATATAAATTTGAAGAAGGAAGATTGGATCTGTATGGGAAACAAGGACTAGGAGTTGAAGTCCAGCCCCTGTGAAAGAGAAGCAAATGCCAAGAGTCCCATAAGCTTTCTCCTTTTAGCCCTTCATAGTTTTTGTTTGTTTGTTTGCTTGTTTTTCGGATTAAATGGTGCTCCTGCCTCAGGTAAAGAGGACATCCCTGTGCTATTGAACTGGAGTTTAGAGTCTATATTAGCAAATAGGGTAATCCAGGATTAATTGTCACTGTTACAAACATCTTTTTCCCCTTTCTCCCTTTTTCCTTAGATTTACAAAGTTAATAGCACTGACTACTAAAATAAAGAAAAAATGGCATCTCCAGGAAAAGGTAAGTGGCTTACATACCTTTAATTCTGTCTGCCTAGATCTTAACTTGAATTCTAAAGAGCAGAGCTATGCTGGACTTCATTTAAAATTATTTTCATGTTTAGTTACTGGGAGGCAATCATTTTGTAACTTGCAGTTAAAAAGGGTAGCCTGGATGGAACAGTTGTTTGAATGTGCTTTCCCAATCTAGATTTATGTGGAAAAGAAAGTTGGTAGTGATTCCTTTTGCTTAAAACATAGCAATTTTATTATCTACTGAAGTTCATTTAACTTACCATGCACATTTAGGAATTCAGATTAGAGTGTAGCATTTCTGGGAAGACTGGAGGCTATTGATTAGAAACGAAATGGAAATGTTTGTTTTTTCTTAAACCTTCATCTGGACAGCAAACATGATAGTAGTACTGAAAGTCTGCCAAATTCCTCAAGTTGTCAGTAGCTACGTACCAAGTAGCTGCTTTTCACTTAATTGTGTTGTTTCTGAAGTGAGACTGCTCTAGTTCTGTCAGCTCCCCAAACCTGAAGTTTACTTTTAGTCTATGAATAATATTGCCAAACAGATTTTCTCCTTACTAGCTCCTTTTCATATTTGCATCTATCTGTTCTGTCAGCATGAAATGAAGATTAATACAACTCAGATTAATGACTGGGTTTTGTATTAGCAGTATTAATGAACATCACAAGATTGAACAGATGATTATCTATCTAGATTTCTGACTTGTGTTTGACAATTGCTGCAGGAAATAAGTGTTTTGCATATGCTGTGTAAAAATCCAAACGTTTAACTCTGAAGTGCAGAAACTGAGTTTGTAACTCATAAGTTACAAGGAGCCCACGGCAAAATAAAAGAAGGTAAACTTTTCCTCTCATCTTTCTAAACTGTAGTCGATTATGCCCCATCACCCATCCGAGGACCTGGAGATGGCATGGAAATGGAAGAGACAACTGAACCGGCAGAAGTTGTCACTGGAGCCCCCACTACAAACCTTCACACCCACCACAGCCCACATAAAAAGACCATCTCTTCCCTGAGTCCTGGTGTTTTGCAGCTTGGGAAAATACATGCTGATAAATCAGTGGAGATCGAAGCTATTCGTATATTAGTGCCCAAAGCAGCTATCACCCATGTTGTTCCAACTAAAAATGCCAAGGTAGCCAGATCAGTGGGACATAAAGGAGACACATTCCATCAGTCAGATGGAGCTGCAGGTCCTAAAGAACTGCTAGAGCTTAAAAATGCCATAGAAAAACTAAAAAATTCAGAAAAGAGGCTGTTGCAAGATAAAGAAGGTCTCTCTAATCAGCTGCGTGTACAGACAGAGGTAAGAAATTAAATGTTTTGCAGGGAGTTTATGAGAACAAAGAACAGCTATGACGTGCTGTGCCTTGTAATAAGTACTTGGGCTTTTGAAAATAACCAGCTGGAGTAGAACTGCAGTCTAAGTAGTAGTAGTTCTTCACCAGCAGGTAAGTTTCAAATACTTTAAGTGGGGAGAAAGCCCTTAGTAGGCTGCTGAGAAATGTACCTGTTATGAAAAAGGATTCCTCAATCCAACTTTTAAGTGCAAGATGTTATAAAATGCATGATTTCTATCTAAAACTCCCTGTGGATGCCTTGTTTAATCCCTTATCATACTGATTCAGGACTTGAATGCTATTGAAACTTTCACTGTTACTTAAAGCAAGATTTCATTCCTCCTATTTGGATATAATTTAATGACTATAATTTAAATAAGGATGTGTTGAACATGTATTAGTTTTAAGTGTTTATGTTCCCTGGAATGGATCATGAGGGTTAACATACATTGCATAAGATGTGTCCCAATCTGGAAAGAAAAAGGCAACTTGTAGCCAAATATTTTCAATAAATTGTAGTGCCTTCATAAGGTAGAAGGGGTGCAGGGGTTTTTTGTTAATTTTATGTACGGTGGTGATGACTGGTCTAATTCCAGGTGAATCGGGAGCTGAAGAAGTTACTTGTTGCTTCTGTTGGGGATGATCTGCAGTATCACTTTGAACGGATGGCTCGTGAGAAAAACCAGCTAATCTTAGAAAATGAGGTCCTGGGCCGGAATTTGTCTCAGCTGTCCGAACAGTTGGAGCGGATGTCCATACAGTGTGACGTGTGGCGAAGCAAATTCCTAGCAAGCAGGTATTTTTCTCTTGCACAACTGTTATAACCAAAGCATTCTCCTTTAGTCTTTTATTACCTGCACCCACTGCAATGTCTGTGAGTGTGCATATATATGCAGAGGACAGCCCCAGCAGCTCTACCAGCATGGACTCTGAAGTTTGGATTTATGGAAACTCTGCTTAGAGTGGTTTAGGGATCTACTGGAAAGGGTAACTTGTTATGGAAGAGGAAGTAGACCTCTTCATTAAAGACTTATTGGTTGTGTTGCTGTTAGGAAACCTACTGTTACTTCTGTAACTATAAAATAATCAGCAGAAAGAGTTGAGAGCAAATCTGAAGTTGGTGTCGGTGTCAAAATCTTATTTGACAACAGACTAGACTTTCAACTTCCAAAATGCAATTGATTTACACAGATAGTGACTTATGATGGTGTAAACAGCGTTATAGTTTTTTTTTTTTTTAATTTTCTATTAGATTACATTTCAATTAGCAATGCTGAGTGCCTGCTAAGAAGAGGTTTTACTGGTTCAATGAAATAGTAAGAAGATGGTCTTTTCACTTTAAGTTCCTAGTATTAAACAGCTTTAGCATATCGAGTGAATGGTAACTCTTTGTGATAGTCCCAGCTAGACTCATGTCACTATCCCACTTTAACTCCTTTCTTTGGCATTAATGGCAGCCCTAACATAGGGGATGCAAGCCCCTTCTAGAAACATTTTGTGGCAGTGTGGAGATGTACTTAGCGTAACACCCTTCGATCTTTAATTTGCTGGGTTCGTTTAGGTCTTGGGTCTCTCCCTGGCAGCTTTTAAGTGGCAGTTCATTTTTGTTCTTTTACATTATCTTTTACAGCATTACTCTTAAATGCTTGTATCTAGAGCATAGCTCATCTGTTATGTCCCCTGAGAGCTGACCTGCAGTGTCTAGCTGTAGCTTCCTACTCTAGGTGCTGGGAATATGAAAAGCTGTGATTAGAGCATACTTTGGGAGCAATGCCAGTAAAACAAAAAGTACTTAGCTTCATCTGTCAGAATATTTGTTCAGTATGTTCACTTACCCAGGGTATTTTAAAGTGTCTGTTACTGCATTTGTATGAAATGACATAAAATAATTCTAACTTAGCAAATCAAGCATAGGGTAATATTGTTAGTATGGTCCCTTCATTGCTCTTAATATGTCTTTTGCAATTAGGTTGATAAGACACCCTGCAGCAGGGTGGGATGAGATGGCACCTTAAGCCTTATTTTGAGCTGGCAGATTGCTGTCTGTAGCAGAACACAGTGACTTTCACAGTGCCTATTGAAGCTACTGACTGGACACTTTTTTTGCAGGGTTATGGCTGATGAGCTGACCCATTCCAGAGCAATTCTGCAGCGTCAAACCAGGGATGCTCAGAGCGCAATCCAGGACTTGCTGAATGAACGTGATCAGTTCCGTGAAGAAATGATTGATACGCAAAAGTACGTTTTTGATTTTGTCTACCTATCTGTTCGGGTGGTTCTTTGGCCTAAAGTAAACTGTTATTCCCTATTGCTGGTGTGTTTAACAAGGTTGTGTGTGTGTGTGATCTTCACGTGGGCATGGAAATTCTGAGGAGTAGCATGCTATGGCATTCCTCATATCCTCCTTGAATTTTCTATTTTTAATCACTTACAGAAAACCTGAAATCAAGTCAGTATCTCCTTCAAAGATGTATATATTATTCTCCCTACATTGACCTCTTTAATGCTCCTCCTGCCAGATATCAAATAGGTTTCTATCTTTCACCAGCATGAAGAATCCGTGGTGATGAGGCCTTGCTTTGGAGAACAGCCTCTTTGCCTGCTTGTCTTTAAACTTACTTTTTTGTTAATTCTTCGTCCAATTCTTTGATCAGTTCTGATCAAAGACAATTGTTTTGAAGCATGCTCTGCATGCCAATAGTGTGGAGTACAAAAATCACTAACAGCACTATCTTCCTTTCTGCACAGGCTGCTGGAGGAGCTGATGGTTTCTCTCCAGTGGGGGAGACAGCAGACCTACTATCCCAGTGCCCAGCCTCACACTACGACAGAGCTAGCTGCCGTGAACTGTAAGCTAGCCAAAGCCCTAAGCTCGCATCTACTTGGCAATGTTGGCACTAACAGTCCAAAAAAGACTTCAACAGCTGTGGAGTTTTGTAGTACCCCTGCTGAGAAGATGGCCGAAATGGTAAAAAACCCTTCACATAACTTAATCTCACAGCACTGAGGTGCCTGTTTTCTGAAGAACAAGGTTGTGGTGTATCAGCTCCTTAAATGTTTTAACAGCTCTATTCAGTACACTGGCTGTGCATATAGCTGTTTTCTCCTGAAAAAAATGATGGGTGCTGTTGCTCTCTGTCACTAGCACTGCATAGGACTGGGGCAACATTTGTTTAGAGTTAGTATGTCAGGAGGAAGCCAAATGAAAATACGTAGTTGAGTTTAAAAGCTGAGTGGGAGGAAAAACCTAGTTTCGGTTATTAACATAACACTTCGGTGTTTTTTATTGTCCCCAAAAGAGTTTTATTGACAATGAGTGGAAAGAGATGGAGAAGGTGTAGGATTATCTTTCAGGATGGGGTCCCCACTGCATTAAAACTTGGTATTTAAATAGTATACTAATCTACTGGTTTAGTCTGGAAGCAATTGATTAGTAGTTGAGCAGCAGAAGGCACAATTACCTAATATGCTGGTTTTGCCTGCTCAGCTGCTTAAAAGAGCTTTAAAAAAAAAAATTCTCAATAAAATTGTACCTTAAACTTCTGATGGACATCACTAATCTATAAATGCTACTTAATTTTCATACTGAGGATCTGCATAGATGCATACTTAATTTTCAACTCAGCAAGGTTCTTCAACATTATTTTATGAAGCATTTCTGCTCAAAAGCTGTTACAGAAAGGTAAATTTCATTAGCCTGAATATATTTTCATTATAGATTTTTCCTTCCATAGGTGCTACACGTACTGGATCCAGTTGCATGTACAGAAACGTCAACATCTTTTCCTGAGACTTCTCCCTCTTCCTTTCTTTCTACAAAAAGCATTGGAAGGTTTCACCCCTATACAAGATACGAAAATGTAACTTTCAATTGCTGCAACCACTGTCAAGGAGAGCTAATAGCCCTTTAAAAACACAGCTAAGGCAGCTGCAAGTGCAGTCCTTTTCCTGAAGAATTACACTACCTGAAAAGCAGCAGGCTTCCCTTTTCCCTCTTTCTTTCCCT